CAGCACCATGTTTGGCGAAAACAGTGGTGGAGGGGTGATGATTTGGGCTTTTTTTTTCTTGCAGCCACAGGATCTGGACACCTTGCAGTCCATTGTATCGACCATGAGCTGCTCTGTGCACCAAAGTATTCTAGAGCCAAATGTGAGGTGATCTGTCCGAGAGTATAGCTTGGTCAAAACTGGGCCATGCAACGGGATAGGGATCCCCCAAACACCAGCAAATATACAACAGACTGGCTGAAAAAGAAAAGAATCAAGATGTTGTATATTTGAGGTGGTAGGTGGTTTGAAAGAAGGGTCAGGGAGGCCACATATGTGAATAAAGAAAATCCCTCACTCAATGGGGTGGAGGCCTTAGGTACAATCTGTCTCCTATTTATCATGCTGCCCTTTCATCTGTCCCCAGAAAGATAGGACCACCCATACCAGAAAGACTACTGTTAATGACCCATGGCAATTGGTGAAGGACTGCAGAAGTGGGATTTTGCCTCATCCCCAGTCCTTTGTCCTTCTATTGAGCCTATTCAGACCAGGGGGAAGTGAAACCAATGTGGAGGATAGATCAGGGGTTCCCTACCAACTCTCCTCAGACTGAAGAGGCTACTTGGACGAGTAGCAAAACATTTCTACTTAACAAGAAAGAAATCCAGTTGCCATGACTCAACTTCCAGATAACTTCACCTGGATGACTGAGAATCTTCACAGATTAATCTTAAAAACTGTGAGATGTAGTTCAGATAGCCTGAACACAAACGATTTAGGGATTAACATATCAATACAGCACTTTAATGTGTCATTATCTGAAATTTTTCTCAGCTGAGGTTTTAAATGATTTTTTTCTCTCTTTTGCATGTGATAGCACTGCTGAGCTAATTGCTACTGTGTAAAAAGAGAGAAAAGAAGTTAATCAAAAACACATTCCCTAAAAATTCCTTGTCAGATCAACCTACAGCTGACTTCATAGCAATCAGCAACCAATGTTTGCCATTAAGGCAACTTGAAAAACTATTCCAGCTCAGGTATGCATTTATGAACATAACCACTCTGCCTTGCTGGATCAGGCATTGTCATTATGCAGTTAATTCAGAATCCTCCAATGTGCCCCAGGAATCCACTAAGAACTGAAGAAGGGCAGGTAAATCTGTAACCCCCTCATGGTGAGCACTGGGAAGAAAATCTACCAGAAGAACCCAAAGACTCACCTAAACAATCTCATGATGTGGGCATCATCCGGGACTGAATGAGCTGGATTCTAATAGATCCAACCATGACACAGCTCCTCTGTGCCATATCACTAATCTTCCCCTCTCCTGATTCAGAATTCCACTGCTGAAGAAGTGGAGGGTGTAGCTATTTCCATGGAAACAGGCTGGAGCACCAAGTAGGGTGTCTTCTTTTAAAGAGTGTAGTCTCTCTGAGGGAAAGCAGGCCTATTTTTGAAGGTGTTCTCTACTTCGAGTCTGGTTTAAAGGCAAAGAGTCATACAGAAAAGGATCAAGGACCTTGATGTTGCCCATCCACAGTCAATGTTGGTGTTTTCAACCTCACAAGCTGCATTCCAGCTTGTGTGACTGGAAGGAGCCTTTATAGACTGGGAGTAATTATCAATCTTTCCAGCATTAACCAATATTTTTCTCCTATGTATCAGATTTCTAAGGAAGCTGTGGCCCTATACAGAAGTATTTTTTCTCTCAGAGAGTCTAATAATGTCCATTGATGGTGGTTAACAGGAAAATGTCTGTAAAAAGAATACTGATGCAGAGTTAAAAGCAGTCATGTTAAAGTAATTGGTTTGTTGTTAACATATTCACATGTGTAAATAAAATGAAGCAGCTTTATTCTTTATACTAATATCTCAGAGTGAGCCATTGACACTTTAAGCGTCAGTTAATGAGAGAGGGGTGGATTATCTGGGAACTATTATGCCCTGTGAGTCCCTGCACATCTGCTGCAAAGCTGAGGAAAGTTAACCATAAAATTTCAAAACTTTTGAACATCACCACTGGGCACCAGACCCAAAGGGTGACCACATAATCAAAAATTGCAGAAAATACTTTGGGGTTTTTTTGGAGGGGGGGCTAATTTGAATTTCCCACATTGATCAGACAATCCAAGGGGAATTGTGATCACCCCAACCCACCCATAGTTTTTTCTGTCCACCGTGGAACCTTCTACTTTTTAAAATAGCAAGTCCTTTTAGATCTATTCAAGCATATGATTGCTTGAATTGAAGCAGAAAGGGAAAGCAAAGTGCCTGTGTACACACACTCAAAGCATCTTCCCACCTTCCTCCTCACCTCTTGCCTCTTACCTAATTACAAGCACACACATATAGTGCAGCATCAGCACACACGGCCCAGCAAAGCCAGGAGTCTTCCTTTAAAAAAAAAACAACAAACTTTTTCTGTGCCACACTCCTGTAACTTAACAAGGTAAAGTCCCATGTTGAAAGCTAATAATCAAGGCAGAAAGAAGCCTGTCTCATCACGTTTTTGACAAAGTGCCCTATGATATTCTGATTAGCAAGCTAACTACATGTGGACTGGATAGAACAACTGTCAGGTGGATACACATTTGGCTACAGACGCAGACTCAGAGAGCTTTTATCAATGGTTCCTTCTCACACTGGGAGGAGGTAACAAGTGGGGAATGACAAGGCTCAGTCCTGAATCCAGTGCTCTTCAACATTTTTATCAATGACTTCGATGAGGGAGTGCAGGGAATGTTTGTGAAATTTGCAGATGACACAAAAATAGGTGGAATAGCTAATGCCCTGGAAGACAGAAACAAAATTCAAACAGATTGATAAGATCAAGCACTAGGCTGAAAACGAGAGAATGAACTTAACAGGGATAAGTGCAAAGTATTACACCCAGGGGGGAAAACAAATGGAAAAGATGGGGAATACTTAGTTCAGTATGCAAGAAGAATCTTGAAATTGTTGGAGATCAAAAGCTGAATATGAGCCAACTATGGCTACAAAAAAGGAAAATAAGTACTAGTTCCCCTCTATTCAGCACTGGTTAGATCTCATCTTGAGTCCTGTGTCTAATTTTACACACTGCATGTTAAAATGGATGCCAACGAATGAGCAATTTCAGAGGAGGGCAGTAAGGATGATCAGGATACCACTATTCAAATACTTGAAAGGTTATCATACAGAGGAGAGGGCAGTCTGTTCTTGATCATCCCAGAGTATAGGACAAATAATAATGGGCTCAGGTTACAGGACGTCAGATTTAGGCAGAATACAGTATCAGGAAAAATGTCTTAACTGTTAGGGCAGTATGACAATGGAACCAGTTTCCTCCGGAGGTGGTGAGTGACATTAAAGATAAAATTAGACAACCATCTGCCAGATCTGCTTTGATTTGGATTCCTCCATTGAGCAGGGGATTGGACTTGGTGGGACCCTTTCAACTCCCTTATCCTCCAATTGCTTATTAACGTAAGTTCTCTAAATAGGGTGTACAACCTGCAGGGCTCTACACAGAACTGCAACCAGTTCAATTTAAGTGTGGCCACTTACATTGAACAGTGCAACTTCACAGCAAATGAATACACATTTCCTTTGTTGTGTACTTGCATCCTCAGCATGCATACAGGTCAATGAGAGCTATTTTGGCACTTGAGTAATGCCCACTCTGTTTAAGTTATAAATATGTGCTCTGTTGGTTTTAAATGTGTTTTAGTATTGATTTTATTTACCACTTTTAATATACTTGTTTAATTTTTAAAATATTTGTATACTTGTTTTCAGCTTTTAAATATTGTCCTTTTACTTATACAAGCTGCCTTGGGTTCTTTTAAGAAGAAAAGTGGGTTAAAAATATTTTAAATAAATAATAAACATCTTTCCTAATGTTACAGCTGGATGAATGTTCAAGCATATATCATTTTATGCAATTAGTCATTCCATTTTCCCTCCTGTGTTGGTTATGTGTAAGTACCACTATAGCTAAATGTCTTGTCTTTATCTCCAAGACTGGTGCTGTGTCTTACCCTAAAGTCCTAGGATGGGAGCCCAAGAACCATAAAAAAGCTTTTTAAAGAATGTTGCTAGCTGTAAGGCTCCTAGCATGCCTAGTTAAAAGCTAATGTTCCATTATTCCATCTTTCCCTTTTTAATGTTTATAATTTTAAAAATAGGATGGTGCGAAAACATGGGAAGGTTACAATGGATGAGGTTGTTCAGACCTTCCCAAAAAGCCTATGAATGAAGAAGGGCGATGGCAAGATAAAAGCCTACTCTGGGAGCACCCTAGGGATGTGAACCTCATAGGTTTTTGCTTTCAGAAAGAATCTGAGTGGTGAGGGAGAGCTCCTTTTCTTTCTCCTTACAACAAGATTTTTCTCACTTTTTTCTGGGACATCTCATGAGACTTCTTAAAAGCTTCCTGGTAATTTTCATCTTCTTCTAGGAAATGGCAAGCTCCAGGATTATTACAATTCCTATATAGAATAACTTCCTGCATAAGATTCATGTGTAAGAAAACAGAAGAAACACCAATCTGTATAGGATTGCTGTGTTACTATTCTTGCACAGACTGACATCTTTCTTGAGCAGAATTCACTAGAAAGGGTGTAAAAATAGCACAATATGGCAGTTTCTTGAGCAGAAGAACTGTTAAAAACAAAAGAAATGAAAAGTGTCTTTATTTCACTGGAAGCCAGAAAATGTCACTTATACAGAAAGAAGTGTTGGTGGGCAGTCTTAACATGACAAGATCAGGATAAGAAATTTTGTAAGTTTTCATCCTATCCATATCCCAAATTTCATCTAAATTCAATATTTTGTTTCCAACAGTAGCCGCCAGTGAAAATTTATCAGCAGGGCAGGAAGGCCTTCCTCTATGTTTGGATTTAATATTTGCCTATTGAGAGGACTCTGTCACAGCTCCCCGCAATCCAATATCTAACAGTTTAGAGATGTTTTTAGAAAAAGCAAACATGCAATTCTTGCTTTGTTTTCAAAGATGTATATTTAAAAAATAATAATTTATATACAAGAATATGGGATACTTGACACCATTAAGTGAGTTAGGGTTATTAAAACACAATATAATGAGCATTATATATAATAAAGGACTATATTACAACTATTTTGCCACAGTGTATTCACTAAGGCAAACTCAGACATACATATACATTTTATTAAGAAGTTCTATCACGTTTTATTCTTACAACAGTATACTGAGTGAATATCTAATATTCTGAAATTCTATACTCAATACAGAGACAATATACTTCAAATACAGGATTCAATATATTTAATTTTCCATAACCATTACAAAAGAAAGAAAATAGAGTTCTTTATTTTTTTTTTTTAAATACACACTGTAAAATGTATACAGTGAAGTCAAAAGAGCTAGGGAAGGGAACATCTGCTCCTCCAGCAAGATATAATAAAATAAACAAAATCTTATTTTACAAGAACATCTTTATTTACTGCATATTTTCTCTACTATAATAATTGAAGAACAGTGTGGACTAGCTAACAGAGGATAACACACAAGACATTTCAAATGCAGCATTTTGGAGTACATGCTTTGCCCCACCATTTCATAATCTCTTTTAATTTGTTTTATCCCATCTTTACTGTCTGTTTCAAAACAACATGTTAAAGAAAGTCCTTAGCAAAGCTATGATCATTTAACATTTTGCTCCAGGGCAGAATACTCTGTTTCTGAAACCCTGGATGTTTCCATCAGTTTAGCAAGGCCTGTCTTTGCAGAGTACTTAAAAATAAAGGCCTTCATGAGTTCATACTTGTAGTTTCGGTTGATGAAGCTATAGAGTATAGGGTTGATGCAGCAATGAACCAGGGAGAAACACTGAGTCACATGAAGGGCGGCATAAAGGAAGTGCTCCATTTGGCAGCTGAAAGGTATGAAATGGAAGGCCAGAAGGAAGTCAAGTAGGACAGCAACATGGTATGGCAACCAGCAGATAAGGAACACAATAACGTAAGAGAAAATTATTTTCCCATTGCTCTTCCTCTCTTGGTCATTTGACGCAGATATAGCTCTTCCTAAAAGACAATAGAAAATGGCAATGACAGGGAAGGGAATGATAAAACCTAGAACAACTGAGCTCAGTTCCATGCCTGCCAGCCACTCCTTAGCATTCTCCTCTGGATAGACAGGTCGGCAATAGGTTTCATTGTTGGAAGAGACTGTTTTAAGGTAGTAGGTGTCAGGAAGAGACGCAAGGAAGCCAAAAAGCCACACAAAGATGCAGATACACTGGCGGATTCTCTTCTTTTTGGTACTGTTAGAGGTGGTGAAATAAGTAACTGAGAGATACCGATCTACACTCATGCATGCTAGGAAGAATATGCTCCCATAGAGGTTGATGGAAAACACAAGGTGAGTAATCTTGCATGCTGTTTCTCCCATATGCCACTGGCTGTTCTGAAGAAGGGAGACTACCCAGACTGGAAGAGTGATGATCACACACAGGTCTGCAATAGCTAAATTGAAGATATAAAGATGTGTTTCATAGCCGGTGGTTTTAGCTTGAAAGTTCATCCAGACAACCACAAAATTGGCCACTAGGCCAATCATAAATATGAAAATATAAAAAATGGAGAGGGTGTACAGCAGGGCGCTTTTGCTGAGGGTATTTGGGCATGATAAGGAGTCTACAGTGATACAGTCTCCAGTGCTGCAAGTCAGATTACTTTCAGTCAGGTTTTCTACTTCTGTAAGATCAAAAATGGGAGGCAAATCAATGGCATTCATAGCTGACCAATTTGGAATGGAAGAGCCTAAAAAAGAAGAGACATAAACATTATGGTTAAACATCATCCACCATTTTGCAATTATCTTGTTCCAACCTGAAGTGTTGTTTAAGCTCTGTGTGCTTTGGTTAGCATGGATGTTGTGAGACTCACTGTCATGTCACACTGGTGTTTTTTTTCCAGTGAATTGGACTCAACTTGGACTCAATTCAAAATCCATCCACCTCCCCCTTTTTTAATGGGGGAAAAAGCTTATTTTTAATAGGGGCTTGGACTTGGGGTTTGGGAATCGGAACCTGGTACTATCAATTCAGACTTGGAATTAGGATTTGGTACCAAAGACATGGACTCAGACTTGGGACTCAGACCCAAAGACTTGCCAACACCCCTGCTGGTTAGATAGTAATGTATATGTCACTGTAAAATACTTCAAATCTTCACAAACTGCAGTTTTGGACAAAAAAATAACCATAGGAATCGGGCAGATAATTGAGACAGAACACTGGGTTTTTCATTTCATTTTTTAAAAAATTACCAACTTCTATGACATCTCAGACATAGTAGCCATAAAATCCAAAAAGTCCATCAAAACCAAATAACTGTTGGATGAGTGTTTTCTATACAATAAATGTTAGGACGACTTCTGTATAAAATTGGAAGAGTGCTATAATATTTGACAGGTTAAGACCTTAACAATTTCTTCCTGAATAAGCTTAGAGCAGGGGTCCTCAAACTATGGCCTGCGGGCCATATCCAGCCCGCCTTGCCATTCTATCCAGCCCTGCGGGTGGGGGGGGCAGGTGTGCAGGCACAGAAGGTAAACGAGCTGGAGACTCGCTTGGGATGGTCGCCATGAGCCTTGAGATGGTGACTCTTTCCAGTGTGGGCAGGGGGCGCTTGCTTGGTGGGTTTGGGGCACTTTTGTGTGTTTGTGTTGTGTGTGGAGTGCACAGAGAAGCAGGCTGAGCTATTCTTCATGTGCTCCCACCTTTCTTTTGTAGAGGGAAGCTGGGCGCAGGGCTAAGGTAGCCCCAGGTACGACACAGGGGTTTGTGTGTGTGTGTGTGTGTCCCCTATCCCTATCTGTTCTTGGTGTGGGGACAGCGAGGAGAGTATGCTGAGCCAAGCTGTTTGGGGCAGGGAGGCAGGAGACATATCGCCGAGGTGGGCTTGGCCATTGCAACTGACAGTTGCTGCCTCGCTGTTGACAATGGGCAACGTGCTCGAGGGAGTGTCACATGGCATGCGGAGGGAAGAGCACATGCACGCCGGGCTGGCCACCATGCCCCGCCACCACCTTCTACGGAAAGGCTGTTGAAGGGAGACTACCCCTCCTCCTCCTCCCAGTGCATCCTCTCCCAAGATGACTGCAAATAGGTGTGCACTGGGAAGGTGGGAGCATAGGAGACATGCAGATGGGTGGAAGGCTGGCTCTGGCCAAGGTACTAAAAGAAGTGTTTAGTCCAAACTACAACAGAACTAATGTATCAATAATAAAACAATACTTGTGTAAATTCCGTTGATTCCCTGAGTCTTCTGTGGCTGGGAACTAAACTAACAACAGCTAGCTTTAATCAAGGAGCAACTCCACTCAATTGGTCAGAATTCTGGTCAGGTAGAAATTCACAGGCAAAGCAGAATATAGATATAAAAAGAGAAACCAGAGGTCTTGTAGCATCTTTAAGCTAACTAGTTATTTGGTGCTACAATATTTATAGTTTCTCTTGTGCTAAAATAGACTAAAATGGCTACAAACTAGATTACTTTTATTGACAGAATATGAGTCTTTCATATAGTTAAAGCAGACAGAGAATGGCTTCAGGTATACTGTATGAGATACTGCCAGACACAATAGGAAGTACCAAAAACTACTAATAACAATAAATAATGATGATATCATGTTGAGACTTCTCTAAAAACCTTGGCATTCTGTTCCATTTTTAAAGCTTTAAAATTAAATGGTATCTCACAGCTATAAATACACAAGAAATAAAAGATCAGAAACAATTATTATAGCTTTTAGTTAGAATATAAAATATATTTGGAAGTCTACAGAAATTGTTCTTTTCCAAGTTAACAATATTTAAATCAAGTCACTACAGCAGGTCATCTTATTCTCTTGTAATCATTTCAGAAGATTTATGAATTTTTTTAACTCACAGCTCTGAAACTAGAATCTAACCCTTATGCTTCACTACCTCTGAACACATTTTGTGACCAGTGCTCATTAGTTCAGACAGTAGCAGGAGACGTATCTTAAGTCTAAAAGCATTTCCTAAAAGGCTTTAACCTTGGGAGAAGTTCTTTGAAAGATCCTCCATATCAAATCTTACTCTCTTACAAGTATCCTAATCTCTTCCCTAGAGATAGCAATCTTGCCAGATTGTGGAGTAAGGCATACGGTAGTAGAGGTTAAGAATAAATTACTTTGGTGTGTATTTTCAAGTCAACAGACCTACCATATTTTTTGCTCCATAAGACGCACTCCCCCCCCATAGTGGGGGAGAAAGTATGTTCGTCTTATGGAACGAATACAGTAAAAAAGAGGTTCAACCACCACCACCCAGAAGCCCCCAACTGCCATGCTGGGAGGCCTCTGAACTAGTAAGAGACTGCTTGCTGTTTGGACCTCACCATTCTGCACTGCTGGCTTTCCAGGATCTGCTTCCTGCAGCCTACCTGGAAAACCAGCAAGGCTAACAGGCCTATGGGAGCAGGCAGTGAAAATAGCCAAGGACCAAAGGGGAAAGAACAGTTCTAGAAAGAACAGGGGAAACCACAAACACAGTCCCCCACTTAGGCAGTTGATTTTCCCACATTTGGGGAAATCACAGGAGTCAGCACATCCAGAGCGCAATAGATGAGCCTTACCCCAGGAAAACCACTTTTACAACAATGGTATCTCCCCTGCCAGGTATGAGTTTGAATGTCCCCTAAACCACCTACCCCTTTCTGTGCCCTGTCCCCCAAAGGCATGGTGACCCTCAGCTGCACCTCCTGATCAGAACAGGGCCGCACAGCCCCAGTCCCGAAAGAGGCCAAGAGAGCTACTCAGTGTTTTGGGGTGCCCCACAGGACCCCCAACAGGGGCTGGATGTTCATCCCACAATCCTCCAGTACACAGATATTAGCATACTTAATATGCGGGGAAGGCAGGGAAAGTGGGGAAATTCAAACTTTCAGTTAGTGAAGAGGCTGCTTGTCTGCTTCCTTGCTAGTCCAAGCAGTTAGAGAGCTGGGAGAGAGACCTGGGACTGCCTGGTACTGTCGTTTTAAAATGTTAAATTTAGTTTAAAAGCTGTTTGTTTGGGGTTAGTGCTTGGGTGAAAAGGTGCTCCGTTTGAGTTGAAACCTGCTTGTGTAGAAACATGCATGCTTGCCTGAAAAATCTGCTTGTTTTACTTTAAAAGCTGCTTGTTTTAGGTTAAACTGTGCTTGGGGGAAAAGGTGCTCCGTTTGAGTTGAAACCTGCTTGTGTAGAAACGTGCATAGGGGTACTTGCTTTAAAAGCTGCCTGCAAAGCCTTTCAGACCAGCGCCGATCAACTGTTAGGTGGCGAGAGGAGAGGGGGAAGGAGAAGGAGCGAGAAGAGCACAAAAAGTTTCTGACCTCCCCCTCCCCAACAAAAATACATTAATTAATTTTCAATGCATTTCTATGGGAAATTTGGATTCAACTTGCAAACTTTTCAACTAGTTCTGGGCATCTAAGAGAGAATATATTTCCAAAGGGTGTTGTAGCAAGGAAACTAACTGTGCCTCATGGCTTCTAACTGGATTACAGTACCTGCTTCCTGATTTCAGCTACTATAGTTTGTATTCAGTTTTTTTTGGCTCATCAAGAACATTGTTCATGGCTTTGTGTGGCCTAACCTGTTGTGCCTTGCATGCTACAAACATTCAATTATGTCAGAAAATGGAGATTTGGTCTTATGCTGAGCATGTGCTACTGCTGGTGAATGGCATTGGGTTAAGCTTTGTGTTGCTGTTCTTTTGCATAACCTAAAGTAAATAAGGAAAACCAGCTGTTAAATAGTTTAATTCCACTATTTATCCTCCACACAACTAAAAGGGACCTCTCAATGCAGTGCCAAATCAGACAGACCATTTCTAACTTAATATAGACTTGAGCTGTAGCTGGGCAGAGTTGCACAACAATTTCATCTGTCATTGAGACATTTCTATAAGCATGAGGAGGAGGTGGATGAAAGGAAATGTAAAATATAGGTAGTGTGGTATAGGTCTTATCACTGGCTGATAATGGTCTAACTATATTAATGCCACTGTTGATTGCTGTTCACTTTACATGGTTCAAATGTTATTCTGTTATAGTTTATTAAATATTATATTACACTATTTGGTTCAGAATATATTTTCCCTGTGTTCCTCCTCTAAAAATTAGGTGCGTCTTAAGGTCAGGTGTGTCTTATGGAGCAAAAAATACAGTAATCTGCACTTCCCAAATTAAAATATTTTCTGAATTTTGTGATGCACTTCAAGGGCAGTCTTTTAAAGGAGCCTTCAGGAGCAGATTTAGACAGAATTTGTGTTTGAAAAAAGTGAACATTATTGAAAAAACTGAACTGTCTTTGGTATAAGATAACACATCAGTAAAATGTCTTCTTAGCTTACAGCATGGTATTTTGAACCCACGAGCAGCTTCTCCAATTGGACATTTATCTGGCTGGGTTTAATCTCCCCAGCTCTGGAAGAAGGAAACAGCTAAATCATTGTTTTCTCTCAGGGGGCAATTTTGTGTTGGATATGGCACAAGTGAAAAAGAAAGTATATCCTCTTAGAATTCTATGGTTTTATCAGGACATAATAAAAATCATCCTTAGCTGGTCTGAACAGTAGATAAATTCAAACTCAGATGAACAACAATACATGAGATATTAAAGCATGTCATCATTAATTCAGCAAAAATAAAGCCAAAATGGAGAAGCCACGTATTAAACACTAAGAACATCTTATGGTTCAATAGCTTGTAGAACCACCTTTAGCAGCAATAACTTGAAGTAATTGTTT